ACACCTCTTAATATTGCAGTAATCCCTTAACTGAGATTTGCTGGAAGACAAGAGCCTTCTGGTCTTTACATGGTTACTTTTCTGTTGAATCCTTGGGGAAGAAATTATATTCTGGAATAACACTGACTTTTTAGTGATTTAGTTTGTGCTTTTAAATCCCATCCTCAGCCTTGGACTGCTAGTAGTTACAGGAGAAAAAAGGATAACAACAATTAGAGCAACCTTTAAGAAATATATTGCAGCTGTAGCACGTTTTTAACTTACCTGTGGAAGAGAAAATGAAACACATTTAAAATACAGAATCTAGAATTCGTGTCTCTGGTTGAAATGTGTCTGACCAAACTTGCAACTGACGTCCCATCTGGACATTTGTAATCTGCATGTAAACTCAGAGAGGGAAATTTATGCATCCAGGTGCCAGACTGAGCAGCAGTTACAGTAGACCTCCATTAGCACTGCCTGGTGCAGTGCGTTTTCCTGATACATGATAAACTCGTGGCCACATATCTGTGCAGTGGTACTCCTTCCCGTTTAGGAGGGAGTCTTTACCCCTTGTCAGTTGTGTTATCTGGAAGTCCTGTTGAGGTGCTTTTGTTTGAAAGTTGTCCTTTTTGTTTAAAACAGCATTTTATTTTTAGTACTTGCGTTGGCCCGTACTCTAACATAACTCATCACATTCAGTCACTAAGAGCAGCAGTAGATTACCCCTTCAGCTGAGTCTAAAGTGACATATGCTCAGCAATTGGATGTGAGTGTTCTGAGCCAAGACTGTGCTCATATTTTCGTAGGAGCGTTTCCGAGCCTACACAACAGAAAGGAGATCCGTTGCAGCGCTCTTTCCTAGAGCTTATCTCTGCATCACTGAAGTGGATGACAGTCCTTTCGTCCATGTTATTTTCAGTGAATCATTTTGTGTGTGTGTGTGTGTTTTGACTAAGCAGAACTTAAAATTTTATTTTCGACTGTTTCAAATATTGTGTGATAAAATACATTGCAAAACTTGAAATGCAGAATTCCTTCGAATTGAAAAATCGAATCTTTCATTCTGGAAGAATTTCAGGAAGACATCTTGCTTCCTCCTTACGACTCTGAAATTTAATTTCTGCAGACTATCACTGCTTAATGAAGTGTTTCAAATGCAATTGAACCACATGCTCCAGAATTTGGTAGTCCAAGAGTTTCTTGTTCAGCTGTTCCAAGAGTCAACCGATTTTGATGGAGTTCAAGTCCAATGTTTTCAACAAACCCAATGAAACGTTTTTCTCATTGTTTTCATGAATGAAATGTAGTTTCCCCCTTTTTCTAAATGTCATCACTGTCTTTACTCCGATACAGATCTACCTAGGATCTTTTCCTTTGCAATACCCTGAATATCAATAAATTGACAAAGTAACACTTTAGTGGTAACATTATAAAATTCATGATCTTGTCAATCCAACCCTATTTCTTAGAGTTATAATGACACAAATCTGAAAATAATTTTCAAACTTTTTTTTGAGAACGTAGGTCTGTATCAGGCAGCTGCTAATCAACATTGTAAAAGCACAATGGAAGATGTTACTTAATTACATTTCTAACTTTGAAATGCAATATTTCTCAGTCAGTGTCACAAACCCATTAACGAACTAGCAGGGAAAAGATAATATGGACTTGCAGGAAAATGCATGTACAGCTCCCAGCAAAAGATGCCACAGTAGGCATCTTAGCTGTTTTCTAATTAGTTACAACTTATTGATGGATTACCCACGATTGTTTCTGTTTCCACAGATTGTCCACAACTTCCAAATATCCCAATGATAATGGTGGGTGTCACCCTTGCTATCCTTCTAATTGGCATTGTTTTACTTTGTATATGGAAATTACTCGTGTCCATTCAGGACCGAAAAGAGGTGGCCAAGTTTGAAGCAGAAAGATCAAAAGCCAGATGGCAAACGGTAAGTTGAATGCATTAATTTTATAAGAGGATCTTTAATTTGGCTGAATGACAATGTCTGAAAAATTCTATTTGTATCTTTTTTGGTCTGTTAAAATGTTAGATTTTACTGGTAGATTGTCACTACATTTAATATTCTATAAATTAAAATTTTCTTTTGTAGGGACAACAGAAAAACAGCTAGAGTTCAATATCCTGGTTTAATTTCTTCCATGTGCACAGTGCTGTAGAGAATAGTCTTTTATGGCTTTGTTTTATTCTTTTTTTAGTCACTACCTGGCCTCTGATTAATCTTACCGGAGTTGGTCACTGTCTCTAGAATGGCCAGAGGTGCCCCCCTCCTCCCACAAATAGAGGCTGTTTTAGGAAGGAGAGATTATCAGTTGCTTCTGTTATGCTGAGAGCCCACTTATATATAGGAGCAGTGTAAGCTGTCCAAAATGTAGGTAAAAGGACAGAGAAATCTAGGGCTTAGCTTCTATCTATAGCTTGCACATGTCTAATGCAAGCTTATACCATATGCTGCCTTTTTCTTTCCCTTCTGCCCATGGCTTTTTTTTGTTCATCTGCAACAGGTTTTAAACTTCTGAGGCTCTTTGAAAAAATGCATGTTGAGTTTGCATTCCGATGAGTGTCCGGAGGATTTGTGCTACGTTGCAGTTTACTCAGCTACGTTCTTGTCCAAAACCTTATGATTGCAACATTTCTGCGAGAGCAGATACTGCTTGCCTTTCAGTTTTTGAGAGAGGAAAAGTTGGTTACTTAGGGGCAGGGCCACTTCAGAGTGTTTTCCTAATCCTTTGGGAGAGCTATATGTGGTAAGAGGGGGGAAAAAGGCACATACTAGATAGAAATATTTCTATTTTCTCTTCTGCCCCAAAAGGAAATGACACAAAGGGAATAAGAGGCCAGTATTAAAAGCTGAGGTGGGACTCTTGCTTTCCCTCCCCTCAACTCATAGTAGTCTGAGGCCTCAAGTAAGAGGACTGTGACAAAATTACGCTTCACAACTGAGAAAATATTTTCAGTTTTAGAATTGTGCAGCCAAGCCATTTGATACATAAATCACGTCAGACGTGCTGGAATACACCTTTGACACAGCATTGGTTGATTATGTGCATCACCCTAATCTGGGAGGCAGATGTGAAAAGAAGCATGTTTCTGATTTGAGACTGAATTGTGCTACCTCACGTAGACTAGTCTGATTTTTAATGGCTTGGAATATAAATTACTGAAGTCTACTCTGAAACGGTCAACGGTGAGGAATTACTTCTGCCCAAAGAATAGACCAGAAGTGCTTGCTAAGGCAAAGAAATAACTGAAGGGATGGCGTGATGTAAAATTGACTGGCATGGGGAAATTGAATATGGGACATTTGTTCACCGCCTTTTCCAGGCAGACGAGAACTATGAGATAGCAGACCCCAAACGAGCTCTTTACGCAACAGTGGTTGTAACGTACCGTTCCTTTCCAGAGGTTATTGTAGACGCTAAAAGCGTGCATGGCTTCAAATGATCTAGGACGTTTGTGAAGCAAAAGCGGCCAGCGACCCGAGAGCGCTCTGGGCAGGTGTGCCCTGCGCTGGGACCTGCCCCAGAGAGCGGCGCTGGGCGCGGGTTGCTACGCGAGGCGCCCAGCCCCCTAACGCGGCCCGCGCTCAGTTTCTCCCAAAGTTCCCACAAAGCGTGGCGCAAACCATCTTTCTCAGGACGCGCGCCAGGAAGCAGAAGGGTGCTTGTTAGTCCGTGCGTGGCTTGCGTGATGAGGCCGGGTGAGGAACCGCTGGCACCGGGGATCAGCGTAACCGCGCCGCCCAGGAGGTGCGCTGGAGCCCGCGGCGCCCAGCTCCGCAGCCTTGCAGCTGAAGCAAGGGCGAGGCGACAGAGTTCAGCCCTGCGTGACTTGCGTTTCTTCTGTTTGTTTGTTTTTAGGGGACAAATCCACTGTACAGAGGCTCAACAACCACTTTTAAAAATGTAACTTACAAGAACCAAGAAAAGCAAAAAGTGGCCATGACTGCAGATTTCTATTAGCGCTTCCCACAGTACCAACTTATTGTTACTGGCAGGAAACCTAAAAACACTATTCTGCTTTTATTTCTTCTCAGCTGATTATGTGGTATTTGTTTGCACGCTGCAGTGGCATAGTAAGTCTGTTAGAGAAAATATATCTTGTGTTGGGGAAACTATAGATAACATACTAGTACTAAAAATTAATAGGAACATTAAAAAAAGCTTTAATACTAAAGCCCCCCAAGAACTGATCTTAGAAAGATGGCATCACCGATAATTTTAAAGGATTAAAAATGATCATAAGTAAGCCTATTTTTGTGAACTTAAGTATGTACAATGAGTTTTATATTACCTTGTTCATCCATGCTACGCTACATGCTTGTGTTTAGGTATGTATTTTTACCAGTTTATTTGGTGGGCTGGTTTCAATTTTAAAAGGATAAATTTTTCATGAATGCTGCTTGAACTGCTGAGGTTTCTCATATCAGCTGTGGGACTGAAAAACTTTTCATCAGAAGCAATTAGTGTTATGGCCTGTCTTGCATGGATCTAAGGTACCTCCTTTCTAATTCCTTCTTGTCTTGTTTCCCTCCTTCCGTAACCTTGAATCTCTTCCTGTTTGATGTTCTTTAGGAATCCACTCCCCGAAGTTAAGCTAAATCAAACCCTTATTCGCTTGCATAGTTGTTTTCTGTTCTAGGTATAGACTGCTTTTTGTTTTCTTTGCTTTGAATTCTAGTGGAGAGGACCCACAGCGAAAAAGTAATATTTGTAAATTAGAGAACCCAGACAAGAAACTTGAAACCAGAGGATTACGGGGGGAAAAAAAAGTCTTTTCACCATTTCCATTCTATTTAGGCACTCAAAATAAACCTCTCATGGGCTGTGGCATGAGCTCTTTACACGCAGGAAAATTTCACACATAAAGACTTAGTATCCCACACAATGTAGTTTTTGTTGATATATCTTGAAGTATGAGGTTTTTTTGCAATGCCCAGCAACCAAACCATTTATTCGTGTGAGAAATAATATATTCAGTTCTTTTTGGCAGGTTTTTCAAACTAGGCAGCAAGTAGAACTATGAATTCCATTTGATACTCATTTCCATGACACTAATGAGGATTTTTAAATCTCAGTTTTAACTACAGTTATTAATAACTTGTCATAAATTGTAATGCTATTATCATACACATCACTAGGAAAAAAAATGTCCCCCCCAAATCAGCTAACATGATGGCATAAAAATGACAATATTGGGCTATTTTAAGCTGACAATAATATAATTAACTTCTTAATATCATTTTTCCTCTATATTTTTTAATATTCTGGAATACATGGCCAAAACGTACACATGAATATACATAAAAGGGAAGGATTAGAAAACAAAAGTACATTGACCCATATCACAGACTAACCAGTTATGTACATTCCCTAAGGTAAAGTATGCATTTGATTTTAAAAACTTGATATTATCCATTTTTCAAGAAAAATTCACAAAGTCTGTGCAACTTCAGCCTCTATATCCTTTACAGTTACTGGATATGAGATTGATACTTTAGACGCCTGTTTTAGGGCCTGATTCAAAGCCTGTTGGAGTCAATGGCTACAGATGAGGATCTGGTTTCAGTGAAACTATTAGTTTTGGTTTACAGAGGTTGTTTTGTTTAAACAAACTGGTTAATACCGTCTATTAGTGGATTAGAACCCACATTATCTATTTCTGTGCAAAGAGAAATAAACAATATCGGATGCCTTTGGAAAGAAGGTGATGCTATAATCACATATGAAATATAAAATGATTGCAGTGTGAAGGAAATGATAGCTATCATTAAACTGGAACAGCTTTGTGTCTGTACTCTTCAGTACTCTTGCATATCTCATCACGAAAGTTGTGCATGGACAAAGGCCTGAATCTGCAATCCTTCCAGCCGCTAGACTCCCACAGATGTCAGTGCAAGTTATATATGGTACCAAATCCAGCTTCCCTAGCACATAAATAATCTCCCTGGATGTAAAGCTGGCCCCTTGGCTTCAGTGGGAGTTTTGTCTCAGACTGCACTTGGGCCAGGATTGCTTAAAGGACTATGGAAATCTGGATTTAGCTTACGGAAAATATCTGTTACCTTTTTTTTTTTTTTTTTTCCCCAAGTAAAACTCATCAAATGACAATCTGACTTTTAAGTGCTGTTTCTGAGAAGGCTGATTCTGCAGCTCAATCTTGGGGATGAGTCCCCTTCTTCTGTAGGTCACTCATTTCAAATATTTAATTACTTTTCAGTATTCCAAAGTTTTTACTGAAGTCATGCTCACATTTCACATAAAACAATTGGTGGTTTACATTTCCTGCTCCTACAGGAGATTTCATTTCACAAAACTCCTCAAACTGTTCCCATCATTTGTATCTTCTGCTCATCAGCAAAGATCCAAAAGGGTATGGAGATAATGTTTACAGTCCAATTAATCCTCCTAGCAATCTTCCTGCAAATCCTTAATGATGTACAGAAATCAGACAGTATGTTTTGCAATTTCCTTGCTGTTATCGTACTATAACTTTTCTGTGCGTCTTCAAAATTGTCAGAATGAAAATCACTCAAATAATTAAGAATTCATCAGAAGAGAGAAAACTGAAGGGCTCATTGAGAAAGACCTCTATCACTGAGGGAGATCCAATACCCAGGTTCACTCATATGAGCTATTCTTTTAACAGCATTAATTTATACCATAAATTTTGACCAAAATCGTAGATTTAAAGAACTTTCAAAGTCTTACTTGGCATTCACCCTAGAAACAAGAGTGGTGTTCATCTTCTTTGTTAATTGCATTATTTTTATCTTGTAGCGTTTGTATCAAAGTTCTTTTTTTCCTTCCTTTTTTCCTCACCAAATTATGAGTGAGTTTGTGTGTGGTGAGGAGGATGGAAAAGTCTTTCTGCTCTTTTCATGAGTATTGTTTTGACCTGAGGCTGGACCTTGAGAAAGGCCAAAACATTTTTAATAGAAATACTTCTATTCACTGAAGAGTTAAACTAAATAAAAGAATAATCATTAGCACTTGTATTGTATTTGTGTATCTTTTACACCTTGCAAAATGGTAATTTCAGTAACCTATGTTAAATGGATAATTGTTCATTTGATTTTTAAAAGTTGCATGTTATCCTGTATTCTTATGTCCAGATTTCATTCATCTTTGTTTTGTAATACAGACAGTGGGTAATGAGTCTGGGACACAAGACTGAGGTGTCAAGTGCAATAATCTCCATGTGCCGTCCATCATAATACAGTAATCCTTGCTTGGTGTTCAGTGGGCATAAAGGAGTTACTGCCCTGCAAAAATGATTGCACACAACCAAAAGGAAAAAAATCAGAGAGAGTTTTATCTTAGTGCACTTGCAAGAGGCAGGTAAATCCCCTTAACTTTTTGGTGTAAAAGGAGGATTATTTAGCCTTGAATAAAGCTTGTAAAATTGAGTGATTTTTTTTTTCCTCGAAATATACTTTGATAGCTTTTTCTTCATTTTCTGCTTCAGCGTGTGACCTTATCGCTGTTTCACATGACTTGATTATTCTTAGCAAATTTCTCATGCTTTGGCATAACCTTGCGCTTATTTTATGCCTTTTTTTTTTTTTTAAACACAGTACATGAGGTTTAGCATGTCTGTATGTTCTTTTGTTTTACTTTTTAAGGAAATGAATTAATGAGTGAATCTTGTAAGCAACTCATTTCTGGAAATATGATTGACTATACAAGGCATTCTTTTTATACAGTGATCCCTGAAGTGCATAACTTGCTTAAAGCTAAAGTTACATTAATTTTGGGAGTGTAGTAACAGCATTACTTTTTCGGAACTACGTGGCAAAGTGCCCATTTTCTGTTTAATCTGAAAGTTAATACTCCTTTTTCTCCTGTAATGAAAATTCATGCATTGTGTTGTCTTTGCTCCTTGGAGCAGGAAATTAGCATTCCTCTATATCTTTGATAGAACTATATTTAAAGTCTATTGTATTCTCCAGGCACACGATAAGAGCATGTCCTCTTGCATTTCACAGTGGATTGTGAAAACTGAAATTGATATGATTGCATGGTTTGTATACCTGTGATGTGTAGTTTAGAATGTATTCTACATGAAGAAGTCTATACATTTTAATTTTGGTTGGTTTCTATGACTAGTTCATGCCTAGAAACGTTTCTTCTGTGTCTTCATTGAACTACATATCAGTTAATACTGAGAGATACCAATGAAAGTGTAACAAAGACACAGAGTATAGTTAAATGAAAAGGCTTTTCCTTTTCAAGATCTTGGTATGTCAGAACATCCCTTGAAGCTGGCTAAGTTCTTGCTTTTCTACCAATCACAACACAAAGAGGAGAGAGAACCAAAAATTGTTTTTCATTGCAACCTTTCCCTTCCTCACGTTATTTATACTACAGCTTCCATTTATTTTAAATTGAATGGGATAACTTAAAACTGTTTCAAGAAATGTCTGCATTCAAATAGACAAGGTTCTGAAAGTACAATATATTTTTCAAACGCCATTTTCCCACAGGGTAAATTTTCTCAACAGTAGTTTTTTTCATTAGTCTCCAAATTTGGACTAGGTAGTATGGTAAATAAAACTTTATGTATGAAGATGCAGTTGGATTTTTCCTGTGTTTGGAAAAGCATGCACCGCAAACTCCTGCCTTCAAAGTTAATAACTAGTTCAAAGACAAATTGTCTCTCCTCTTGATCTTCTTACATGAGAGGTTAAAACCTGCTTCCTCTAAAACTCTCAACTGACTTAAAAATGAGACCTATAATTACAGCATAATTACCAAGCAACAAACCTTCAGTTGCTTCTATTTTAGGTTACGGTAGATTTGAAAAATGATAGACAGAAGAAAAACAAAACCAAAAAAACCCAATAACCTTAAAAGTGTTAGAGAAATTAAGCCTGGAAAGATATGAAACCAAGCAAGGTATAGTTCAGATTAAGTACTCTAAAACTCCTTAAAAGCAGTGAATCGTTACAAAAATGTCTAATCCCCCTCACCCCCTTCAGCGTCTGCAGGGAAAGTCCTCCATGGCGATGTGTCATGAGCCAATGCACAAGGCAACAATCACATGAACCATGGTCAAGCGACAGAATTTGAATTTTTACAGGTACGGTGGTCTGCACTTCTCCTGTTCATCCCTGAGTACTTACAGCTACTGCTTCATACCGTCTGGGGCAGCAGCTGCAAGAAACCCGCTCAACATCTCCCTCCTGCAGATTACAGGTTCTGATTCCAGTTCTTATGCTCTCTAAATCTGGCAAACGCAGAGGTTAATAACCAGAGCGTTATCAAAATGAGATGCTTGTCACTGAATATAGTTAGTGTGAATGACTGGTCTGTTCCCCACGCTTGGCCAAGCAAAACCCAGAGGGTCTTGCTGATGAACCTGTTTGCATATGATTAAGAAACAGAGAGAAAAATATTGGTCTCACTGGTATGTTTAAACTACAAAACAAAAGTGATGAAAGTTTTATGGGATTTCTATATTTTTTTCTAAAATATCTGCCAGGCAGTTAGATGACGGTTTTATCAGATTTTTTAAAAAAATATAGCACTTGTAGAACGTTGATCGTAGTCTGGGTGATTTCTGGTATTGGTCTCGATGTTAAGTCTGTTCAGTAAATGAATCTGCATTCTAACATGAATAGTTTTTCTTGAGAGCACATTAGTTATTCTTTTGTAGCAAACCTTGGCAAAAGTTCTGTCTTATCCTAACATTGATTTCACTATAATAGAACTAACAATGTGAGTCTCCCTGTATATACCTTAATGGAAACCATGTGCATTTTCATCATGATGACCCCAGATGAACAAAGTGCTGAAGTATGTCAGTTACCTTACAGATTTCAGGGGGCACATATACAAAGGCTTAAAGTCATTTTAAGCACACAAGTGGTTAAAATTTAAGCATCAAATTAGCTTCTTTGCCAGATTTGAAGATTTAAGTTAAATGCTGAGGTCGGTTACATGACAGAGTTCTTGAAATGCTTTAATCTGTGGATCAGCTGTACATTATGGCTCTGAGCTCTGTAAATCTGTGCTAGAAAAATACTTCTGCAAAATGTCTCTAGGTACAGGCCATCTAGGCCAATAAATGCTGACTTTGGTCAGCTGGAAGAGAAGAAGTTAAGAGCTGCATGAAGACTGCAGACAAAAATAGAGTTCTACTGAATGAATGAATCTCTTTGCACGTAATTCCCCTTTTCTACAGTGCCAACGTGATTTACTTTTGTTTTACCATTCCTGTCACAGCCCTGACTAATACTGGCTCTTCTCAGAAGTGCAGTAAAAGGTGACCAAGTGAAAATCAAAGAATGCTGCCTTCCCAACAGGGTAGCTTTCCTTCTCTCAAGGAATGCAAAAGAGCATCTCCAAAGGGTACGAGAGAGCACAGCCACTTCTGTGCTGTCTCAGCTTTCCCCGCAGAGATGCTGATGGCATGTTTGGGATGCTGCAAAAAACTCTTTTCATCACTCATATCACTCACTGTCCTTCTGGCCCTGCTGCTGAGATGCCTTTGGGACTGTAGTATGTATAATTTATAAACGTATGTGTGCTTCATTTGAGCTGTAGGTAAAGCTCTGTTAAATATTTGCTTTTAGTGTGTGCGTATTAGACAATGAAGTGAGGATTTGCTAAAAGCTTTCAATATGGAAAAAATGCATATAAGGAGGACAAATTTTGTATGCAGTACCACCTGCCAGGCAGTAAAACGATGGTTTTATCAGACTGTTTAAAAAATGTAACATCTGTAGAATGTTGATCGTAGTACATGTAATTTCTGGTATTGATTACAGTGTCTTATACGTCTGTTCAATAAATGAATCTACATTCTAATACTAATATTTTTTCTTGGGAGTACATTGGGTAAGTTTGCAAAGTGAACCCTTGGGAGTAAAGGCAAGAATGGCACAAAAATGATTGTATTACTTGGAAGGATGAATGACATACCAGGTATGGTTGTGTCAAGCATCTCGCAAGGGAAAAGAAAAAGTAAGGAGCCTTGAGAAGCTAATAGGAATGGGCAAGAGGCAAGTCCACATTAGGCAGGCCTGTTTTATTGCAAGTATTGCAATATTTGATTTTTTTTCCCTTAAAACTACCTGGGACCTGTGATTTTCAGAGCAAAGCAGGACTTAGGAAAGCTGCTCTGCCTGAAAAAAATTGAATTATTGCTTGCTGGGCACAGCTGATGTAAGCAACGTTGGTCCTAATTTTTCTTCCTAGCTATTCTGGTTTTTTTATTCCTATGCTGGGAGGTAGGAAAAACATGAGAGCTCTCCTTGGGGCTTGAGGGTAGGGACAGAGGTGACTGCACAGGAAGATGCTGAACACGCAGCAAGCTGTGCTTGTGTCTTGGAAAAGCAATGGGTTTTTGAGAAAATGGAACTAGTGTGCATTTGATGAGGGTTTGTATTTGTAGATGGGGGCCATAGTGAGCATTAAGTAAGTATCTGTGTATATGCCCGGTATAGATGTCTGACTTAATGTCTAAGCAGAGATAGAAGGAGGTAGATAAACTGTTAAATACAGGTAGAAAGTAGAAGAATACAGGTAGCAGGTGGAATACTAAATACAGGGTTAGTGAAGGTAAATAAGCACAGACAAGTAACATACACCTATGGAGCCAGCTATAGGTAAAAAGATAGAAAACAGAGGTCATTAACTGAGAAAGGAAAGGAAGAATAATTAGAAAAAGTGGGTTTCAGACAGAAAAGGAAATAAAGGAGCCAGACCACTACAGAAAAAGCCTTAAAGGAAGACAGGTAAGGCTTAGAAAAGAGAAATACAATACAAAAATTAAAAAGATGGAAAAGTTACAAAATTTAGCTTGCAAGATAATATAAACAATGTCATCAAGTCTACTTCAGAAAATGTTGCCAACAATGTTGGTTTTACAGACCACTATACCAGTAAATATGTTTTATTCTGGTAATTACATTGGTATAGCTCAGCTATAAATACCCAGACCAGTTCAACCACAGCTGCACTAGAAG